CCTTCTACCTCCAACTCAGCCATCTTTCAGCACCTAACATGCACCATCCTGTTGTATTGCTTTGAATATATTTTTCCTAAACATCTTCTGTCTTTTCCTGTAAATTTCAGTAATGTAAGAGTGGTGTAGCCATGATGGTCCAGAAACTATGCTAAGGGCAAGGATTTCTTAGGGTGGTATCTTTTATTGGACCAAGTGTGTCGTTGAAATACAGTTAGAGAAGCTTCAAATACAAGATATTTTTCCATCAGGTTTGTGTCTGCCTTAAATTCTTGTTTTCGTTGTATATGTTTAAATCCTTATCACCTATTTCCTATCTTTTTATTTAATTTCTTCTCACTTGTTTTATTTGCTCCACACCCTTTTGCCTTTTTTGCCCTTCTTATGTTGTTTCTGAACTTGAAATGATACTCCTTTTGTTTGTGTGTATTGTTTTCAGAAACCACTTTCTTTTGCTTTGCTTATTGTTAGTAACTTTTTGCTAACTGCTTTCTCTTCAGTCTGTCTATAAAAAAAATGTCAGCCTAAGATAGTGCTACAAAACAAGCATGTTAATTGCTACTCCTGTGATTAGCACAGACACCAAAGCTTTTTTTTTAACTTAAAAAACATAGCTTCTTATTTTGATTCTCAAGATAGTTTGGTTTCTTAAACTAAGATTTTTCCATGACACACTACTTTGTCATACTAAAGTGTGTTTACTTCAATGTTTATTACTGCACTATTTTTAAACTTTGAATTTTCAATCCTTGTGTTGCAATATCCTGTCAAGATGCTCTTACTTCAAATATCACAATGGATAAGGAAATCTTGAAGCATAGCTTCTTTACTTCAGTATGTACTTAGAGCATGCTATTTTCCTTCTTAAAGCATTTAAATCCCGAGAGACTTGTTTTTTTGTCAGCTGTAAGTCTTCACAAATTAATCCTTTGTGGAGCAGAGAATTTCCATGCAGATGCCTCATTTGGGTTTGCTCATATTTATTGTTGTGTTTTTTTCCCCATAATTATTCTTCATTATGTAGGAATTTCATGTTTTTAATCTCAGTTCAGCTGTTTGGTAGAAGCTTTATGCACTTCAAAATCTTGTCTTTCTTGGGGGCAGATGTATCTGATTCAACACTGTTACAGAACAGTTACATTTTGAAATCTTTTGATCTCAGTTTTAACTAAGAGGGGGGATCCTCAAGGTGTGTTTGATCTGTAGTGTTCCCTGTTGTTTGAAACTGAAATCAGCTCATTCACAATTTATTTTCCTTCCTGATTACTGTGTTGGCCAAACTCCTGGAATCCACTATGTTTCTATTGTAGAAAACATTAGAGTATTTGGGCTTTTTACAAAAAAGCTGGGTGAGTAAACAGCATGCTGGGAACACAAAGCTGATGATAAAGCCTGCCTTCTTTGAAAGGCCTAATTGTCAAGTGCTGGGTTGGCCAGTTGATTTGTTCAGCCACCAGAATGGCATTGGATTGATTTACAAAAGCGAGGTTGTTTCCATGTGCAGATTTCAGGTAGGTGTGCCAGTGGTGGTATCTAGGAAGGTCAAATGTACATCCAAAACTTAAATAAGGCCTGGGAGTAAAGTTCAATAGCTTTGCCAGTAGGTGCAGCTAAAGCACAAACAAATATGCTTTGAGTAAAGCAGCGAATAGATTCAGGGAAGTGGTGTGTTCAAGACTGTGTTTCTAAACAAGGTATTTAATTTGTTTCGTGGCATCTAGGCACATGGATGTTCTTCCCATTCCTGTACAGGCATTCAGTTTGGAATGGGTTGTTTTTTCTGCCTTTTATTCAGTGTCTTGGCAACTCCTTACATCTTTTCATTACTTGCCAGCTCTCCCTGCTGGCAGACCTGGATTATTGCACACTTAAGGTTTCGTTGTCGTCTTTCTTTTGTAGTGATGTAGTTAGCTCTGTTTTGTTTTGTGCCAGTGTATTTTTCAGTATTTTATCTGGTGGGGGGGTGTTGCTGTTCTCCTCTTCCAGCCTAGTAACCTCTTTGTGCCAGAGCTTCTCCAACTTATTTTTTGAGGGAATCTTGGACTTGAATCTGTCACCATCTGTACACAGGGTTTTGTTTCAAAGGGGCTCTAGTCTTTGACAGTCTTGTGAGGCTGCAGCTTAGTAGAAGAACATTTTGTAGCTGCTGGAGACCACTTTACCTTCCCTGTTCCTCAGCTTGGCACACACATCAGTGCTTTCTTTCAGCTTAGGCTAGTTTATACTGTAGTGGCTGCCTCTTTGCAGCAGCAGCAGGATGGTAGTGGGGCAACTTAGCTGGCAAATTTTTTGGCCATCAGAATTGCACCAGTTCTTCTGAGTAGAAGAAGTCACCTTCTGCTGGCAGAGTAGTGTCCGTAACCATGTAGTGTCATCATTTTGTCAGCTGCAGGGTATGATCTCTTCATATCTTCAGCCTGTAATAACTATACTGGCAGAACAGTGTCTTGTAGTCAAAGGATAAATCAAATGTGCTAAAATGCCAAATTCAGGGCTGAAAAGGTGGGGAGAAGGAGGAGTGAACAGTGCTGTCCTGGGCCAATTCTCACCCTGGTCTATCTGTTCTCTGGTGCTCTCTCTCTTGCCCTCCTCCTTTTACTCCGGTGTCAAGTCACTTCCAGTGAGTGGTTCCCAGTTTAGCTATAGTTACAACTCCGGGAGTAATTCTGCACTGGCTTGAAGTTCATTTAATCGGTCTCTCCAAACTCAGTGTTTTGTGGTTCACAGATGGGCAGAGATCTATCAGAGCCTCAAAAACAGAAGGTCTGAGAATATATCTTCATTACAGCCTTTCAGGGTCATAGTCACGAATGCAGGTTATGATATTCACCCGTCAAGGTTAAATTAATATTTCCAAAACTAATATTTTAACTTTTTGTGGTATTCTGTTTTAGTATTGCTTAACTAACTGGAAAGGTAACTGGTAGAGTCAGTTTTTCTGTTTACTTTCTCACTGCCATTCTCAATTTGATTTGTTATTTTAGTTAGGAGGCTTGCAACTTTTTTTCTTTTCAGAAGGGGTTGTTTTTAGGATTTCCTCTGGTAGTCAGAAGAGGCATGCTAAATCTGTTACTCTTTTCTTTTTAAAGTACAGGAACGTTTTATTTTAAACTTAGTTGCATTTCTATTTTTTCCGTAATTATATATTAAAAACACCAGTGTATCGTACTTGCCTCTTTAGGAGGAGCATTTGAGCTATATTCTCCCCTCTTCAAGCCATGGATTTATTTCTCTGTCTTAATTTTCTGGTTGTCCTTAACAGTAACATGGTACTCCTTTCTTCCAGTTCAAGAGGCCTAAATATGACTGTCAACTGGCCAGAAGGCTTTGCAATAAGCAACATTTTCTAAAGCAGGGGTTCTCAGCCTTCTTAGATGTGGGGGCACAGCTCAGAGCTATTCACTTTGACTGTTTTGCAGAGTGGGGGGTTGATTATGGAAAAATAATAGAGCATTTCTTTTATTGCAAACAACTCAAAAGGATCACGACAGGTTAAAATGTTTTTGGCACTATGGATTCTTGGTTAATATCTCTAGATTTATCTTGTGAATAGTGTGTGGGTGTTTGCCCACCTAACAGTGCTAATATTCTGCGACACCTTTTTGAGAATCACCAGGTTAGAGGTTGATTATGTTGTCTTGGTGCATGCAAACTGATCGGTTCGTTATCAAACTTGTATATGTTATTGGTAAACTAGTAGGCTAACTGCCTCTTCCTTCTTCACTTTCAGTTTGTTTTTCTTTTTTAAAATTAGTGCTCCATCATGTTCTTACTCATTTTGTTCAACCCATCTCCTGGCATGCCTCAGCAGGCCTTGATTGAAATGGACTCTAACAGAATTGTAAAACTGATTAATATATTTTTATCTTGATCCCTGAGGAAGTGCTCTGTTCTGAAGTGGCCTGAAACTTGTTGCAGTGCAAGTTCTTTATGTCAGGGGTACCTAAACTGTGCTGCACGTACCCCTGTTGGGTACACAAGATTTCTGTGGGCGGTCCATGGAAGAAATTGTGTAATGGCGGATTTAATATTAATTAAAGTACTAATTGGCACTTAAGGACTTAAAATATAAAAAGTATGCTGGTAGGGGTACGCGGGTGCTGTTAATCTTGAAAGGGGTATGCAGTAAGAAAAAGTTTGGGAACCTCTGCTTAATGGTATGCAGTATAGAAAGGCTGAGTCTGTTTGTCCATAACATGCTGTTCAGGAAATTGCTGTCTTTTGTATATATTGTAGTTTTCCAAAAACCTATTACATTTTCCCTGGCCTCAAACTTGCATTGAAGTTGTAAGGTAAAAAGCACTTTGGAAGGAGGTTCTTTTGAAGTTATTTAAAATAAACTAAGAGCCAGACTTGTGAAGTCAAGCATCTAAAAATACTTAAGCACCAACAAGTCTAGAAGACTGATAGCTTGTGGCAGCAGAAATACAGTATCCAGCAGGGCTGTGTGAAGCTTCAGTCGCTGATTAGATTTGACCTGATGCAGGGACCGAATCTCCGAATCAAATTGGTAAAAGCATCTGAATCGATTCTGAAGCTTTTCTGAAAAGATTCGTCTGTAGACTAAACAGGCAGCTGATAGCTGCCCTCCAGCTGGTAAATTTGGGGAAGGGGAGAGGGAATGGGTGTTGGGAAGGGAGAGATTGGGGCTGGGACAAGCTGCCCAGCGGGGTGGGGGGTGCGTTACTCGGGGAGGGGTAACCCCTGCTGTCGCTTGCCCGGGGGAGGGGTTAGGATGCGAGCATGGGTTAGGATGCGAGCATGGCTCGCTCCAGGCAGAAGGGGGCAAGCGGCAGCAGGGCATAGTCCTGGCTCCCAGTGCTGCTGTGTCTACATCCCACGCTCCCTGTTTTTCTCTGCCAGCTGGCAAGCAGAGGCAGTGCCTGCCCCTCCACAGCGGCTGGCAAGCAGTGGCAGGGCAGAGCCCCCGCTCCCAACTCTGATGCGGGCACAGCAGCGCTGGGGGTGGAGGCTATGTCCTGCTGCTGTCCGTAGTGAGCCATGCTTGCATCGCACCCTCTGCCCCCTCCACGGGCCGATGCGTGGAGGGGCTGGAGCAAGCTCCGAGGCCCGCTCCCGGCACCAAAAATGCGTTTAATGCGTCAGTCCTCACATCGAGGACGTATCAGCGATTAAACTGATAAGAACAGATTTTTTTTTTTTTTTTTTTTTTTTTTTTAATAATAAAAAGCTGCAAACTCGGTGGCTTTGGCACTGATGATCGGGGCCTTTGAGGGCTTGTGGCAGAGCCCCCCCACTCAGTGGGGTGCAGCGGGGGCTGCCCCATGGCATGGGTGCAACACAGCTCGGCAGGGTACCGTGCGCTGTCTGAGAGCTGGGGCGACTATGCGTCAGCTGCAGCCCGGTACCACTCAGCCCCAGCTCCCAGGCAGTGCGAGCTCCCTGCCGAGCCATGCTGCACCCGTGCCATGGGGCAGCTGCCACGTGGATGCCAGGCAGGGGGGTGATACCCACTGCCCTGCGCTGCACACAGGGGCTCTGCCACAAGCTCCCAATCGCCGCTACTGCAGCCGGTGAGTGTGGGGCGTTATTTATTTATTTTAAAGTGCAGGGGCTAGGCTAGGCTGGGGCCGGCCGGGGCAGCCATGGGGGCTTCTTCTGTGGCTTCCCCTGCCTGGGGAGTGGTCGGCACACCCGGAGGAGCCGCAGGAAAACCTGCAGCCACTCAGTTGTGCCTGCCTCTCCCCGGCCGATCCAAATCTCTCTGAATCAGCGCTGAATCGATTTAGGACAGTGATCCGAATCTCTGAATTGAATTACTGTCCTCCGAATTGGCTGAGTCCGAATCGAATACTTCCCTATTTGCACAGGCCTAGCATCCAATGTGTTGTAATATCTTTAACAAATGAACAGAGGATGCAGCGCCAATCTGTTTTACAGGCACTGTTACCAGTAACTATGGAAGAGAGTGGTTGTCCCGGGGGGTGGGATTTAAGTGTAGTTCAGCCCTATTCTTTTATTGTCAGATTGGTTTGTTGACCATGGGCGCTTCTACAGGAGATGCTTACTGCGCATTGTCCTAATAACATTATGGAGTAGTTAACACAGCAAGAACCATGCTAATATCATCCTGTGTGGTGTTATTAGGTGAATGCACAGTTAGTGTCACTGAATAACCCTGCACCAGTGCTACTGCGCAGTAACTTTAGGTACTACACATTTAGTTGGTGCTTTATTAAGGAAGTACTAAACTAAATGTACAATACCTAAGGTGCATTAATGAATGTGTAGACACGCCCAGTGTGAACCAGAAGAGGGCTGATTGCAGTAGTATGAGTATTTTGTTATACAAGTGAAAATAAAAATGGTGCTTGCTGCCAGATGGCTCTTTTGAAGTAAAAATTAAAAGCGTTCAGCCTTAGGATATGGGGTTATGTGCCATTTTTACAACATGGCCTATAAGACTCGTACATAAATATAAGCTTGAATAATGGAAGGTAGATTTCTAAATGGCTTCAGTTTGCTCATCAAAATGCTTATAGTGACCTTTATTTTAAGACTTGCATAGATTTCAGTCGGGTATATAGAGAGCTGTAAGGGCCAAATATGGTTAAAATAATGAGTATTTTGTTCAGTGGTAGATACCACGGTATTTATATTACACAATAGCACCTGAAAGTCCCAGGTAGGATTGGCAATCAGTATGCTGGGTGTTATGCAAATATAACAGAAGATGGCTGCTGTCTACAAAGTGTTCAGTCCAATAGTTGGTAAATCAGTTGCACAATCGGAGATTAATTTGTGTTCAACTCTGATAAGGCAGAAGAACACTTAAAGTCCTTAAATTTGCATTTAAAAATAATTTTGACATCCTTGTTAATGCTAAAAGCATTTCATTTTGTCCTGTCTACCTAGGAATAAAATGAAATGCTTAGTTTATGGCTTTTTGGCTGTAGGTGGTACTTAAATGTATACAATTTTTAGAATTCTCCGAATAAATATTATGCTTTTCTGTGGTTTTGCTTTGCTCTAACACGTCTGTTTTGCAAGTGTGTTATTTTTTTTTTTTGTTTTTACCTTTTTTTAATTTAGGGTCCAGTGGTCTCAGTTTAAAGGCTATTTTATTTTCAAACTGGAGAAAGTGATGGATGATTTCAGAACTTCTGCCCCTGAGCCACGAGGCCCTCCTAATCCAAATGTGGAGTATATTCCCTTCGAAGAGATGAAGGAACGCATTCTGAAAATTGTCACTGGATTTAATGGGTATGTAACTTTTCAAATCCAACCTCATTTGTTGATTTGCACGGTTTTTCTTGTTTCACGTGTTACAGTTTCTTAACCTTTATGTTATGGTATTGACTTCCACATTCTCATTCTGTTGGTAACATATATCATAAATAGGTGACTTTAGCCACCACTGTCTGTACCAATTAAAGATATCATTGAACTTTCAAATATTTTTTTTATAACTATTCCCATCTTGTGGCATTTGTCAGTTGTTTTGAAATGTGGGATTAATTTTATTTAACAGGCATTATTAATGTAATAGAAAATGTATACAGAAGAAGTACATTTATAGTTTTAAAATAAGACTAACACATCTTGCGGTATTTGGCTTTTTTAAGAACTTAAGTCGTCAGTGTTTGTCCCTGTATTTTTCTTGTGCCAGGTTAGTAGCTCAGCAAAAAAACAAAACTAACAACAATGGCACAGTGCAACAACAGGACAAATTGTTTAACTTTATGGGTTTGTATTTGTAGGTCAAAACAACCATATGTTCAGTGGTTGTAAAAGATACTTTTAGAATTTGAAGGATTGTCAATCATATCTCTAGAATTAAGTGTATTGTTGCCGCTTATTACGTTTGTACCAAGGTCTTTTTATTTTACTTTATTTTTGAAGCCTTGATTCTTTATAAATAAATTGATTTTTCTCCACGAACGTCTACTCTCTTATTTGGTATATCCTTTTTATGACCTTTAAAGTACTTTTACATACCTAAATGGAGTCACAAACTTATCAGTTGACCGGTTTGTTGGCACCTTTGCCTCTTCAAAGATTGACTGGTTTGGTATTTTGCGATTTATCAGAGAATGGACATATCAGAACTTTTTTTCATGTTAGCCCTGAAATTGCAAACATTAAAGGTTCTGGGAACTCCTGCAGAGTTTCATATGACTGAGTTCAGATGTGATTTTTCTTGAAATGCATTTGTTTATATACAGAAAGCTTCAGGTATATTTACGTGTAGATTGATTTATGGCAAATCTTATACCAAAGATTTCTACTGAAACCTATATTTAAGAAGGGGAAATTTAACTTAGTCTTCACTGGCTAGTATTAATACTTGGGATACTTTCACTTGTTCAGTGAAGAATGCATACGCGCATCTGGGTTTCATGTTTTCAGTATGTCAGAGCTATTTTTGCTAATGTTGCACTGCTTACCAAAACTCAGTCCTCTCAAAACAGGGAAGATAAATATCATGAGAAACACGATATTACGTAGCTCCAAAGCACGCTTGCCAGAACCCCCAGGGGACTGAGCCTTTTGTACTGTTGAAGTTTTCCTTCTTGCCGCCCAGTTTCGAAGTGTTACTTGCTGCAACGCTAAGGAAGAATTCCAACATGGTTTGTCCCGTGTTCTTTTAAATGTTTAAAACCACAAAGTGCTGCCAGGAGGAGGTTTTATAATAATGCTCCTAAAAGACTATTAAAAATGTACATTTTACAATCATGAATGTGGCAAAATTCAGTGTAGCAGTTTAGACAGCTGTAATGAGTCTACAATCCTTAAACCATCAGGAATAGGTCTCTATACCAAAGCATGTAACAAAACAGGCCACAGTTTGTGCATTCTCTTATCTCTTGTTTTTGTAGCTCTGTTTTGCTATATCACCATCAGTAATTAAACTGCTTCAGTTTATTGTAAATTAATCAAAATTATCCTGAGCCTGGCTCCTACAGCTTGACATGCATACAAAACTTCTAAAACTATATAGTCAGAGGTTTTGGAAAAAAGGGTAAATGCATTGTTTCATGAGATTTTGTTTCCTTTGGCAGAATCCTACTTCTGTTACTGGAGTTTGTTGTTTGCCTCTTTGCTAGCTGTCCGAATGCTGATGTGGCAGTGCGTATTTCAGCCGTGAGTGTCAGTCTGTATCTTTTTGGCAGTGCCTGGTGTACTTGCAGAACCACGTTCTTTTAACTCACTCAAGACCTTTACACGTCTTCAAATAAATTCTTAGAAGATTTCATTCTTTTCCCTCTATTCTAGTAAAACTGGAAGACTTTTTCAAGAGCACCTTTTGGAAAGCTTGGATATTGTGAAGGATTCTACAGAACAAAAAAGAAACTTTGTTGTTACCGATAGGGCTTTTGAGATGTGCTCCCTGGTATTTTTTGTTAGTCGGTTAGGGGCTCCATCTGCTTCAAAACATTTGTGGTGATGGCCTATTTTAATTGTTTTCAGATGCATCTGTCCATGGCCCTCACTTTTGATTACTAATTTAGGTGGCTTCATTTCTTGGATACCATGGTGATAAGTACCTTCAGGAAAATAGAAACAAAGCTTAGACTGGAACTTGCAACTTGCACACTTACACTTCTAAACCTATTTTGATAAATGGATGCAACTCTGCTAGTACAAACAATCAGATTTGTTTAGGTCCATGCACAAAATTGCATCAATTTTTAAAAATTAATAACCTAATTTAAAATCGTGATTTAGACTACCTTATTTGCATCTTCTGGTCAACTGTAACTGAAGTGTCTCTGGAAGTTTGCTACTTAAAAACTCATTTTACAGGAAACATTATTTTGGAGTGAATTTCTTTTACAGGAAGTGATATTATGATATGTAGTGCCATCTACAGTGCATTAAGCAGAGTTCTTCATTTTTACAGAAATTTTCCAGGGACTAGTACTTGTTTTTAGCCAGGAATATTATATCACTGTGAACCTTGTAGCTGAGTTAATTGTAAATCATTTCCCTCTGTACTTTGAGGTTGCAGAGCTTATTTCATGGAATTTATCACCCGAGTAGCCAGAATTCCACTGAGTCTCATGAGCTATTTCATCTCTTTTTAATCTTCATTCCAAGTGTCCATTATTCAGGAAAGATAAATGAAAAGGGATTTCATGAATTTTCATCTCTTCCCATCCTACTGCTAAAGCGAATTCATAACTCTGTAAATGGATGTTTAATAAACTTCCATTTTTAATTTACAGTTCAAAGATTAGTGCTATTTCCCTATGTGTTTTTCAGTTACCTGCATTTCACAGTAAATTAATCTCTAAACACTTATGCACAGCTTTAATTACACTGATCTGTGTGATTGAGTTCGCAAATCATTTAAATCTTTTAGTGTGGTGGGGTCCTACACACTTAGCGCTTGAGAGAATGATTGAAAATACTGAGAGGCAGCAAAATGAAGAAGGATTTTCTGGTTTGCCATTTTTCTGAATAAAACAAATTCCCCACAGCTGTAGAATAATAGAAATAACTTGATCAATAGCAAAGATGTTGGAGTGGAAGATGCAGGAAATCAGACTGTTGCCAGGACTGGAGTCTTCCTAATGAGAAAGTTGAACAACAATAAACACACTTGCCTGTTCACGACAAGGTGAGAAAAATAGCCAAAAAACCATTCTAGGTCACAGTAGGAACATCAGGGACATATATGTAGGGAA